TCTTTTTTTCATTCCAAGTTGTCGCACTTAATAAGATTAATTGTTCGGGCAGAAAATAGAAATGTTAAAATATGAGGGTAGTTGACTTTGAGTTATGGATTTGTGTTTGCTGTGCGAGCGTGTACTTACGAAAATGATGTTGTTTTCCTAATCTTGATACTAGAAACAACGAATGTTCTAATTCCTAATGAGAAAAGTGATAAATTGAATATCTTAAAAAAGACGCCAGCCAAAGTAAATAGTATTGGAAAAATATTTTTTTAAATTAGGTACCTACCTACGAAGTACGAGCATATCGGTGACCATGGTGTGACTTCTTTCAGGATTATTGTCAGGAAACAAAAACGTTTTTTATTGAAACTGACCAGCTAGAAATTCCACAGTCCGTCGATTTGCAAGAATCATCGGGACAATTCTTGAAAAAGGTTGTTTAAGGGTTCCTCTACCTGTAAAAAAATCGAGAACGCTCTGGGAGTCACCCAGTTTGAAAGACAAAGCATCGTTTATGATTATGTGCGATCTTCTACTATTATTGTTTACTAAGAATGGAAATGGAAGAGTTTCTTTTTAGCGCAATTAAAAAAAATTTTAAAAACGTGCTCTTGTTTTCGTTTTATCCGGCCATTCCTTGATTCCTCCACTCGTTCGTTTGTCCGGACCCACTTCTGCGGTGGTCTTGAACTATTTTTAAAGGAATTGTCTTAAAGTTCTGGAATTTTTTGCAATAGGTAGCTTATAGCTTGAAGATGTGCCAGACGGCTTTCAAATTTTGTTCTCTTAGGGGAGGCCCCACCCCCCGCCCCATAAAGTATTTCCCGAAATGCTGATTCTGAAAGTATATCTCGCAAACGAAATGTCGGAGGACAGTACTCACAATGGCAAAATTGGTGTGGTTGAAACGAATATCTTGAAAAGGAAGTTTCGGAAGAGGGTAGATATTATACTGTTATTTTGTGTTAGTTACCTGTATACCTTGGTTTTATGGTAATTTCTGGTCGAGACCCCCGTCATGCCTTTTACGAGAGCACTGTTGTCGTTGAAAGCGGTGGTTAAATTCCTCCTAATTTTTAAATTTAAAATATGATATTCTCGTACAAATAACTTAGTGGCTTTATTATGGTACACAATGGACTGAAGATATTATCATGGACTATGCATTTTAACATTTCTTGGAATTCTACATGAGTTAAATGATTTTTCCTAATTATCTATGACGGCTATGCACTGTGTCCAAGATAAAGATGTAAAATTAGAGAATTGGACAAAACCCGAAAATTCCGATTACTTCCGAAGATATGCGAAAAAAATCAAAATTTGCCGATTTCGTTTTTTTTCTGATGTTATTTGAACAGATACAACAAATAAGAAAAAACCTTCTCACTTTTTGGAGCTCTACAAGACAACGGTGACAGATTTCCAAAACAACGTTTCGTTTCGGAGAAATCACCATCAATTTTATTTTTGTATATGGCCCGTAAAAAAAGTATACACTGTATTGAGTAGATTTTTTTTATAGCGAGCACAACGAGGGAGGTGTATACAGGGTGTACCTAAATATGATGTAAATACAGAAGGGGCTAAGTCTTTGGCTAATGAATGAGTCTGTCCGTCAGTGTACATGACAATTCTCGAACGGTTCCGAATTTTCCAATTATGTTTTCAGTATTATGTTTATTATTTTAAAAGATCAATAAAAATATTCGAAGCGAAAATGCTTTTTACACCGTCGATGAGTTTGAAGAAGTACCTATGTAAGTGCTCAAGGTTTTAAGTAATGTTATGTTATCTTTGTTAAGTTATGTCAATGTTTTCCTTCCCCCTTTCTTTTTTCTTCATTTCATATCCTAATACAATATTATATTGTCAACAGGAAACAATAAAGGTTAGTAATCACCGATGGAAGAACTGATTAAATTTACAGTGACCCACGAGCTCGTTTGCTATATTTGTTACAAGTTTATTTTATGACTAAAAGTTCATACAAACATAGGTCCCCTTCGTTACCGGTCTACAGCGTGTTATTATAGTTCTACCGTTCACTTTACAATTTAAACCTTGAATTTATAAACAAATATGCAAATACAAGATACAATATGCCAACTGTCAAAACTAATAAAAACAAGATATTATCCAAATACAGGGCCTACTGGGCCATTTTAAAAATTATACTTTCATTTAGCCAACTACCCAAAAATTGATTTTTATTTTTTTTCTCGATACTGGTTACAAATACGAAAAAAATACAAGAGACCAAACAGTTTCTAAAAAAACACAGGAAATCAATTTCTTGTTTCACAATCTACCAGTGGCGGACCGACAAAAAGTTCAGGGACGGAAAATGGAACATGACCTCTTAAAAAGTAACACCTGTAAATTCTCACTACCCTTAAGCGTGACTTATATTTCAATATATCAAAAACTGTAGGAGATATAAAGAAAAAACTTAAAAAAACACCCTAGTAGTAGATCGGTAAGAAATCGTTTTCGAATTTATGTATCACTTTTAGTCATAAAGTTTTTTATTCGTCTATTCTATTCATTTTCATATACTGTGCGATTTTTTCATTTTTCCCATAGGGATTTGCTAGTTAATTTGGGACCCCTATGCTATTCTACGTTCTAAAAAAGATAAAATAAGGATAACTAACTACAATCACACATATTTTCAATAAAAAATTTCAAATAGAAACCGAGAAAAACATATTGAATTGCGGCAGAAACATCCTCATCTTTTAAATAAGCCTTCATCCAGTGTCTTCTTTATCTTTAAATCATTGCCCTCCATGTTTATTTTCTGAGTCTGAGACTAAAAAAGGCGAATCCGCAAATAATTTGATCGTTGCACCATGCTCTTTATGTAACCCCATGTTAACCGCTAACCAGTACCATTCCAGCATCTGTTTTATATGGTACAAGCTTATCATGCACTTAAGAAAAAAGATGGATGTAGTCGTGTCGTCCAATAGTTGTTGGATCCACTAATAGAAGGCTGTCAGCAGAAATCGTTTGTTGCAAAATATCCACCGATATTGGAGTGTCCTTACGACCACATCAGTTGGAATTTGGTACCAAAGGCGGTGTTGAAGCTGGAATCCATTCTACCAGACGTTATTTTCAGTATCCTCATAATTCTGTTAGAGTACTAGATACTGAAAATCAAGTTTATGAATGCTTTTAATATGGTCGATTGAGGGGAAATGTTGCGAAAAGTTTTAGAAACTTTACCACAATACAAAATTCGTGGTATTACTATTTACTAATGAAACAAGATCCAGGAATTATTTAATTCAACGGATCGGCACAGCGATTCAAAGAGGAAATGCTGCATCTGTGTTAGGGACCTTACCATTTTCTACTGACTTTTTGGTTAAGATTTTTATGTTTTTAAATTAGCTTTGCAGTTTATGTTAATAGTGACTCGTATGTTGGTAAAAAATAAATAATTAAATATCAAAACGTTTTTCGTTGGTAAATTCAGCCAGTGTTGCAAATAAGAAAACGTGAAAAAACTCAATTTTGCAACTAAATTGTTAATAACCAAAAACTGACCCGGAATTCGGCCTGATACCCTCGAAACTCGGATTCGGCGACCCAGATAGGTACATATAAAATAAGTTCATGATACCGAGGGCCCCTCGTAAAAAAATTTTAAAAGTTTTTGGTACAAAGACCCGAAGTTCACCTAATAAATTTGAATGAGAAAACTCAGGACTTCAATTTCGTCCTCGTTCTTCTTGGAAGAGTATAAAATATATAGGATCCTTACTCACTTTTTGCTACGACAAACGCCCCTCTATCGACCCAACCCAACAAATGAGGTTGACAACCAAGTTGGCTGCCGGTGGGCCCCCTAACGAGGAAACAAACGATGAGTTTGTGAACACTGTTTAATCGAAAATTGCTTTTGCTATTCCACGAATGTAATTGAAAATGTAAAATGTTGATTTTGGGATAACATTAAAGTTAATGAAAAACTAAGGTCATTTTCATGGACCTGTCTAACTTGACATCGCTTTTCTCTATTGCGGAAAATGCCGTAAAATTAACAAATTTTGTCGGGATGTTATACGATTTGACTAATATTTCCGAATCGAAACGAGAACAAATTAATAGTATGTATCAAAAGCAAAATTAATTATTCCTTCGGTCATATAGTGAAGGGCCTACACCGCATTCACTAAAATCTCCTAAATAAACAAGTTACTACTAAAAAATACGCATAAAGGAGCTCTTCACAGTTTCCTGCCCCAATAAAAACTTCAAGGGCCCTGAACACGATAGGGTTGAGGGTAGCACCAGCACCCTTGGGCGCTGTGTGCTTGTTGTCGCAGATAGTTTTTACGTTTACCAATACCTATAATTATGTTAATTAATGTACAGTGCAAGTTTTATCTAGCCATTACCTATACCGAACAAAATATAACCTGGAACTATGCACTAATTTGACTGTGACCAGTTTAGTGATTTGACGCCAAATTTCGATACCCATCTCAGATGTAAAATAGTAAATTACTCTAAAAGTAAACATAGACAGAGAAATATTTTGTTTATAATTACAAGTCAAATCGTATTTATTTATTTTCTAAGAGCAGGCAATTCTGGCGATAATTACCTGAAGAATGTATAAGTAAAATTTAGAAGTGCATAAATTACTTTAATAATTTCCCACAGGTGACAGTCGGACCGATAAATTAGATCAGTAAAATGTTTTGTCAAAACGTTTAATTGATTTAACAAATTACGGAGATTTATTTTGCCAGAAATACATCTTCTACTCGCATAATTACGAGCGAGCCATTAACGAAAAAAATGGGATAGAAAACGCGTATTGAAAATAACGGAGTTCATTGAGTAGATTTTGAATGCGGGTGGAATAAAGATAGATAGTCGGATAGCTTTAAAGATGAGCCGACTCCATGTAAATGAGGGAACGGGTAGGGATCGAAAGTTACCTCTTATTGGTTAGGAAGATATTTAAGTTGTCTTTGCTTTTTCGTTGATTCCTGGATTTAGCGACATTATAGCCAGAACTGTGTGAAGTTGACGCGATGTTCTATTATTAAGTGTGTCGGTGTTTGTGAAAATTGTGTTTTCTTGCAATTATGTACGAGACGCGCAGTGATTCCTCCTCTCCCGTTTATCGCCAGCTATCACCGCAACAAAACGATCAGTATTCACCGATGCGACTGATGGATTTAACAAATTCCAGCGAAAAGTATTTCCCGATGAATTTTCCGCACGACCTCCCGCAGGTGCCGTACGAAGTTTTCAGTAGTTATCAGAGGAGTATCGCTGCAGGATACCACGCGCTGGACGCGAAGTTTTTTCAAGAAACCTATCAAAAAAGCGAGTACGAAGATGAAACGAGAAACGACTACGTCGCGGCACATTTTCAATCACAAGGCGACTACGTGGAAGCCGAAGACTACACACGAAGGCACATCAAAGTTGAAATCGAAGACGAGCCCATTGTTCCGGTACGCACAGTGGGCAGAAAACGCAAAACCAACCTCCTCGAGTCCGACGACGAGAATTCTTGCGGGAGTGTCACCAAGTCAAAGTCGCGCAGAAAAACGCCGCAAAGCTTCGAAGACATTCAAAATCAAAGGATAATGGCAAACGTTCGAGAAAGGCAACGGACACAAAGCCTAAACGAGGCCTTCGCGAGCTTACGAAAAAGCATACCAACCTTACCGTCGGACAAGCTTTCGAAAATCCAAACGTTGAAATTAGCCACGAGGTATATCGACTTCTTGTGCCACATTTTATCGACGTCCTCTCCAGAAACATCGAGTGATAACGACGTGATCGGAAACGTGTGCTCCTATACGGCCCATGAAAAACTTAGTCGCGCTTTTAGTGTATGGCGAATGGAAGGTGATTGGAATTCGAATACGTGATAAGTAGGTAGTTAAAAAATACCCGCGAAATAAGTTACCGTACAGTCAAAAATTTTCTCGGAATATTTTCTAATTATAGTTCGAAAATAACTTCCGCGACAAAGACTTTATTTTTACGTTCTGTGTAATTTTAATTCAGACATATAACGAGTTTCCGTTCCTTTAAAATCTGAGATGTTTATTTTTATTATTAGATTATTATACTTTGTTGAGTTTCGTTTTTCTCCAAATTTACTTGTAGGATAACTTAGTAGGGGGTCAGTATTTTTTTCAGCCAGTTGTGATCTTATTTTGTAAACATTTAATGTTAGAAGAAAAACTACTCTTAGATAAATCGACCAAAAAAGTGTATATATGATATGATGAGAACGACTTAAAACAGCTGCCGGTTTTTTAGTGTCGTGTATAAAAAATGTCCCCGCATCAAACGAAGGATATTTTAAATGTGCCATTCGTGTCTAAAGGCAGAATTATGACTTTTTTTTAATTAAGTACGACTGTCGCAACGTGTCACTTGTTCTTCTTCGGTGAAATATTGATTTTGTGTCGTTAATCTTAGTAATAGGTCCTTACGAGAAATTGTGTAAAAGATATCCAAACGATGGTTTTGTACTTTCCAATCTTTAGCATATAAAATCTTACGAAATTAGAAAATTTAGTTTAAGTTCATGTATTTATTTTTGTTGTCACAAATATATATTTTTATTACAATTGCAAGTTTTTATTACAAAGGTATTGGCGTATTGGCCATGTGTGATAAATGTGCCCGGAACGTGTAGATAAGGCGCTGCTATTCGAATAATTTATCTGAGATCCAACCATTGTATCACTATTTCCTAAAGCCATTGATGAATATAGGGAAATATGCTACATAACTTTTGTACTTTTGCAATTTGGACGATAAATATGGTTAATACAAAAAAATGAAATAAGTAAGTCGAAATCTACCCTCTGAAATTTTAATACAAACGTAATTTGTATGCATATTAAACGGAAAAGTGCTTTTTTTTAGGTATCTAGCATGAACAATTTCAAAATGTATTTTTTGTTGACATATTTGAAAGGTTTTTTTTTATTGTTTTATATAATATTAAGGTAATTAATTGGAAGCCCTCTTTGGCATTTAGTATTAATAATCATTTTTTTCTGAAACTATTTCGTCTCTAAAAATGGTGAAGAAAATGTGATTTTCCTCTCTAGTGAGCAAGTAAAAAACAATTGCTGCGTTAATCTTAATGATATAAAATACAAATACATAAGATTGAAACATACCCGTATCTAGATTGTCATGTGTCAAACTTCATTATTGCACACGATAACTTTTCAATTTTTATTGCAGTTTCAGAAAAAATTAAGTGTAAAACTTGAGGAGAAAGTGTTTTTCAACTCTCGTTCAATTCTCAACTTTGAACTCGAGTTGAAACACCACTTTCTCCTCTAGTTGTATAAATAACTATTTCTTGATTTTGAGTTATTCCAATTCAAAAGTGCCCATTTTAAGTCCACCCTGTAAGCAATAAATAGCCTGTTTAAGTTTTGAAACCAAACAAAAAATGTGCACTAAAAAATTACCAGATTGATTTCATTGTGAATTTTGCCTCCACATCACCCAAACTTCTCATGTATAATATGCACAACAGTAGTAAATACAGACATAACAACAGGCTAAAATCCCTAGATAAAGTTACTAGAATTGACAGTCAAACGGAGGAGAAAAGAGTTAGGGGCGATACTAAATCGCGACAGGCCAAAATCCCTTGGAAAGGTATTAAAACTGAACATCAAACAGAGGGAATTTTTTGATTACATGAAGCGTTGGCGCAAGGCATAAACGTTAACCCCCTCTTTGCTAAATTTTCGTCCAGATTCCCATTTGCATCTTTTTGGCTGTGGTGAGCCTACGTTTTATCGAGATTCGAGTACCATTTGCTCTTTCACACATACCTACTTTCCGAGGTTCTGTGCGTTTGTAAGGTCTTTTTTTCATTAAAAATACTTGCAGCTCATAATTGCGTGATTTCTGTCCGTTTGAGAGTTTGAGCTATCAGCAATCGCACCTGATAAAAAGCTGTGTTTTTTGTTAATTTAATAGGGTTCAACACGTAGGTAGGATAGGCAAAAAGAAAAAACGACTATCGAATAAGACTCCGTTTCTGCTCAAGCGCATCCCAACTTTATGAAGCGGCAGAGCAACTAGCCCAGCCAACCAAGCTCGCCACCTCAAACTAATTTCTACGAAAGGTTTGTCGACAGATTTTGGTTCACCTGGTCTCTGGTAACTACCAAACAAAATACCCAAGGCTTACCCCACGGGCTTCCTGAAATTTCAGGGCTTTATTTCAGGAATCTCTTGAAATCGCGTTTTATGTGAAATAGTGGTACTTGGGAGATCCGCCAAGTTTTGTCCAAATACACCGAATTGGTAGAAATTAACCTGGAAACCATAAGGTGATGCATTTATTTTGCTGGACACAATTATCACAGCATTATTTCAACCATAGCAAAACCGTAGCAAAACCTACTAATTCGATTAAACCAATCTGATCAATAATAAATTGGAAAAAACATGGCTGACATGAATCATTATGGCCACACTGCGTCTTTATACACTCACTGTACTATAAACTATAAATACAAAGACTGTACGAGTATAAAGACAGTGTGGCCATAATAATCCATGTCGACCAAAAACCATCGAGAAACCTTTCGTAGTTTGAGGTTTTGTCTTATTTTGTGAAACGTCTTTATTACTTGTTACAAATTAAAATAGAGACTTTTTGACCGATTTTCGACATTTAATTGTATGTATTCAATTTTGTAGGGATTTCGACGTAGTGTGCTTTCCTAAAATCAGGTTTATACACGAACTTATAAATTAAGATGGACTGCTAATCAAACAGTTGCATAGAGGTAGAAATGGCCCTAGCATGGGCACGCATATGATGTGCACGTTTTACTTATTTTCTAGGGGAATTTTCCTAGTGCTCAAGTTTTGAGACTATTGTAGCCTTGGAAAATGACATGTGTCACAGTAATTTATTTAGAAAACGTGAGATGAATGCTTGTTTATTAGTTGATTTGAATTTCGCGCCAAGTGAGTGCACATCATGGCTGCCTCCATGTAGGGGTCATTTGTCAATTCAGTATTTAGCAGTCCATCTTAATTTATAAGTGGGTCTATATCAGCTAGTAACTTTGTTTGTTGCGTATTTTGATGCTTAACAAAATGCCGTTTTAAAACTGAACAAATTCCGACTACTTTCGGAGATATCCTGAAAAAAACGAAATCTCACAAAATCGTTTTTATTTTTTACGAGTTATTTCAAAAGATATTTCAAAACAAATGAAACTTTATTATGCTCACTTTTTTCTAGGTTTAAATTTTAAGGCTGACATTTCGTCTTTGGTTAACCATCACCAACTTTGTTTTCTCTTATGGAAGCCATATTTTTACTTTTTGTGTTATTTATTTATTTCTGATTTCAAAAATGTAAATATCACTATTTTTTAATAAGAAATGGCGCTATTAATTCGTAAAAACCCAAGGAACTACCAACATACATACATTTCCCAAGACAAAGTTTGCCAGGCAAACAAGTAGATATTTAGATCATTAATTATTGCTCTTTTAAAACGTCAAAATGACAACTATGTTCCGGAGTGAGTATTGAAGCGTTAATAAAGCATGGTGGGTGGCGCTCAAGTATAATTTAAGTAGGCATGTTGAAGAAAGTATCGAAAATAAAGTGGAAACTTCAAACAGGATTTTCAGTTTTCATAATGCTAAACAATTTCCGCAAGTAGGTATCAGTCATTCACTCTAATTTGCCATCGACATTCGGAATAATATCAAGCAATAATTATTGTGATGTTTCTTGCGAAGTGTTACCTTTGCAAGCTACCTTTTCAGATAAGAAGAATTGTACACCAGGATCTCACGATACGTTGCAGCAGTCACCTTATATTTTCTAATAATAATTGCACGTTTAATTTTTGTGGTAAAGAATAAACATTTAAAAAACTCATGTGACATTTCATTTTTACAGTTTGATGGGAAAAAGTGCTGCTAAAGTGAAAAGTGGTAATTTTCTTTACGTTTTTGATGAAACAAGACGCATACCTAGTAGTGCAGCGGAGAGAGCCGCGAAATCGTTCAAAAAATTTTTTCGGAGTAGGAAGAATTGGGACCCACACCATTTTGTTCAGAAATGTTTGAACCTTCAGAATCTCGCTTTACGACATTTTCCCGTGGTCCTGACAAAAGTTATAGGCCGCTAAAGTTGAAATTTACTCATTTTCGCGCGCGCGACTAGACCACCGAAAGTATTTATTTTCTCAGCAACTAAGCGATATACATCAATAATTCCTTTTGTAAAATGAAAGTACATTTATAGCAGAATCTAAAGCATTCAATTTACCTACCTTGTTATGGACAGTTTTTAGAAAAATGACCGTCAACTTCCAAAATTCGTGTCGCAGATGAAAAGTGCGCACTTTGAACTCTCATAACTTTTTATTTCACGACATCGATTTCCAATATTTATAGCTCATTCGATGCTCCAAAGCATTGTGATTATTTTATTTTCTATAACATTACCGTGAATTTTTCATAATAAAAAAGTTACGGTCATTTAAGTAAAAACCTACCGACCTCGCCGAGTCGGTAATCGCGAGTGAGACGGAGAGGGAAGGATAGTCAGCAGCGTTCGCTAAACAAGGAGCGATGCGTACTTTACTAAGAAATTTCTCTCCGAATACCAAAACTAGCTATTTAGGCCGTTTAGTTTACAAATGCATTCCGTCGAGTTGCATTGTAAAATCTCAAACAATTCATTAACTCCATGTATCTCAGTTCTTTGGTGAAATATATAGGTACAAATAGGTACCTTTCCCTGTAAATTTTGTGGGTTACTCCACATCAGGTATCTCTTGTGCTGTGCTGTATATTGCAAGATCAGCAGTAACAACGGTATGATTTTGTCCCAAAGATTCAGGCTTGTTTTTTGATTTCACTAGACGATGGTTAGGATGGTATTGTAGCTCGCTGGTGGAGAATTCAAAAACGGCATAGGTATATTATATTGAATGGTAGATACCGGAACTTACTTAGGAGGATTATCAGCAGGTACTTAGGCTGTTAAAGTCAGTTATCTGGTCGTTATCTAGTGATAGGTAAACGAGGAATTTGGATTTCTTCTGTCGATGTATCTCGCTTTT